ATCCACTGACTCAAAATGAGATGTGATCGATCTGAGACCAGCTCATAATTTTAAATTCCTTTCAATCACACTAATAAATATAATATATTGGTCCTCTCAGGTCCCAGGACTCTGGGAGGGAAACTGTAAGGCCACAGTGTGGATGATGTATCAACAAGATCTATCTGATCTATTAATGCATAAAAGCGCTCAAAGGGCTTTTCCCAGATGGAAAGGTTTTTCTAAGCACAATTTATACGTGCTTACTTTAAATACATTTTTCAGTACAGAAGCATCCCAATTTCAGTGAGGAATAGATGAGAAGGCGATTTTATCGTATTTAATTTTTGATGCATTTTTTCATTTTCAGCTTGATCATGTTTTCTCTCTGAAGTGTGTGGATGTTAATATCAGGGCCAGCTCACACTCGGAAGATGAAGAGGAGTTGTAGTAGGTCTGTAAGGGATTAAGTTGGAAGAGTCTCAGGCCGGGAAAACATCTTTTGCTGGTCTCCAGGATGAAAGGAGTGGAGCTAGAGTGCCCTCCGCCCCTCATATCAAGGGCCCTCCATGAAGAGAGGATGGGTGAACAAAGGCATTCAGGAAGCTTATTGGCCACAGAGAATTCTGCCCTTCTGAAGGAAGAAATTAGGGTCTTGCCACTCTTATATAAGGATAAACTGTTGGGGGCGGATAAATTGTTATCTCACCAATATGTTCTTTAGCTCCTTAACCTGCCTTTTCAGATAGTGATCCTAGACCTTAAAACCATGTTTGTTTGACCCTCTTGTTTTTAATTTAAATTGGTTGAGTTTTTATGGGCTTGGCATTTGAGGTGTAAGGGACTATGTTTGTTCAATTCTTTTTACATTAGAGTTCTATTTGAAAACCTTTTAAATAAAGATACAAGACTTTATCTTCATGTCTGCAAATGCTATGGACCAGGACAGTTAAGAGCAGGTCCCTGCATTGTTATCTAATTACAATTCATCAGAAGACACCCTGTTTAATCAGGTGCAGCATTTTCCAACAGATTTATACAAATTTTGAAATGAACAAGTAGCCAATTTTATTTATTTGCTACATTTATGTTGTGTCTTTCTCTCAGGAGTTCAAGAGATGACTTGAGTTGGTGAGCACCATGCATTCCACTGTTTTGGCCTAAAATAGTTTTAGCAAACTAGCTTATAATTTATTTTATCTACTAGATGGTTAGCCTGTGTTCATTACTTCATTACTTAATTCATTACAAGGTGGCGCAGTGGTTAAATGCAGCACTGCAGGCTGACTGCTAGATCAGCAGTTCAGCGGTTCAAATCCCACCGGCTCAGGGTTGACTCAGCCTTCCATCCTTCCGAGGTGGGTAAAATGAGGACCCGGATTGTTGTTGGGGGCAATATGCTGACTCTGTAAACCGCTTAGAGAGGGCTGAAAGCCCTATGAAGCGGTATATAAGTCTACTGTTATTATTATTATTGTTATTATTATTACTTTATAAGTAAATCAATGCAGTGAACATATACCATCCTCCTTTGGTTTCCTCTTTTCCCTCAACAACAATAACAGCAACTCTGTGAGGTAGGTTGAGCTGAGAGATAGTGACTGCCCAGTTGGCTTTTGGGGCATAAGATGGGACTAGAACTCATAGTCACCTAGTTTCTAAGCCAGTACCTTAACCACTACACCAAACTGGCTCGCTTCTTTCTGGCTCCAGGCTTGATGTCTTCAAGGAAGGCACATTAATGCCTCTTTCAAATCGAGTGATATTATCTCCTTTCAAAGAGAGGTTTATAACCTCTTGGCCTTAACTAACAACATCACTGGGAAATGGATAAAACAGAAGTAGCGTTCTTTTCCCGTTTTCTTTTTAATTTGCTTTACCATCCTTTCCCCAAATTCAGCTGGAATTACCAGGACATTTTTACGTGAGCATTTCTGTCCTAGTGTTGTAAGGCATCTCAATATTGTAACATTTTAGTAACTTTGCAAAGAGATCTGTTTCTAGTGTTAATACATAAAGGTGGATGGTGAAACTGGCAATTTAGGAATCAGCCCTAAATCTGAAATCCTTTTTACACTGAGGTGACTTTTATTCAACTGGATAATAGCTGAATTTGCTTCAATCACAAATTTTCTTCATTCTCTGAAACAATCTTTTTTTCTTATCTTACTGGGCAAGCAGTGATAAATTACTTTCGGTGCCTGTTAACAGTATTTTTTTTTTAAAAAAATCTATTTTTATATAGCAGTGAAGGACAGATGAGTTACAAAAGTCAGACTTTTGTTTCTCCTGAGGATAGTTTTCAATGATTATTTTCCTTTCTGCTGTTGAATGAAGGAAGGAAAGAAAGAATGAATAAATGAATATGGATGGATAGATAGATGGATGGACAGCTCCATTTAATTAATCCTATTGATTCCAGAATGATTAACTTTCTAGGTATGTTTAAATCATACCTACTGTTTTTAATTACAAGCTGAACAAATTCATAAGCAGCTATCTAAAAACATTGGCGACATCACTTGTAAGACAATGCTTTCTTTTTAGACAATGTAGATAATACTAATCAGATATGATTATGATACATTTACTGTAGTATTTAAACATTAATTAGGCAATTTATATACAATTTATTATCTTACATTTTTCCAGAGATGAAAAGATTTTATGTGTATTTCTATTTATTCTTGATTCTGAAAACAGCATTATACAATTATCCCCTATTCATACATTGATTCATAACCTCAACAAACAATTTAAAAGTTCCAGAAAAAAATAGTTTTTAAAAGCAGTTTTTAGTCTGAATGATGAAATGTTAGAGGAGGATTAACTCAATAATCAAAATGAGAACTGGATCCAAAGAGATTTGTATAAGAACAAAAGATATAGTTTGCTATATATAGGGAAATTTAGGCTGTTTTCCTTGGAAATGTTATGATATTGTACGACATTTTATGCTGGAAACTGTTAAGAGTAGGCTGCTATTTCAATATACTCAATCCATGAAAAGAAACTATTATGCCCAGTATAATTAGCCTATGGAAGTAATGATTCGGTACGTAATTGTGTAGTGTATAAATCGTAACAAGAATAATTCTGAATAATGATCCTTTTATTTAAAAAAAACCTTGCTGAATTTACAGATTTTAAAATCAGTAATTTAAAATAACTAATTTTAAAATATTATTAATGGCTTGAAGCACTATATTCTTTTTTTATCTTAGTGCCAAGAAAAATATTTTTGCTTCCTGACAAAAATTCCAACAGTTCTTTTGCCTTCTCTATATATTTTTCATACTTAACACTCCAGTAATAAAGTTTTACTACATTGCATTGAATGTCAAACAGCATTTTTATAAGTGGAATAATTTTCTCTATTAAAGATAAGTTCCTTCTAAGAGAAGACTGTCTTTTGATGAAATCCGTTTTGATCCACTACTGCGTATGAAAATGACATAAGGAAATAATCCTCAAGTTTTCCTACACTCAAAGAGTAGAAAGGAAGTGAATATTGAAATATTTTGTTATATTGGTTTGTGATGTCCTACAATGAGACATATCTAAGTTAAATCTACATAATTTTTAAAAAAAACATAAGTTCAAGAAAGGAATCTGTTAACTTTGCTCTCAGGAAAGGATAAAAGTCAAAGTAAGTAGTATACATATACAGGCATCTATCATACATTTATAGAAAAAAGATCTATAAGAAGGATTTTTTCTACAACATGAAAATCTGTACATTAAAAAATGAATGGTTATGGTAATGTATGGAAAATATGGAAAATTAATGTGATGATTCTACTAAATATTTGAGAATTACACCTGTGTATGATTTCTTAATTTTCTGTATTATCCATTCTTTTGTGTATGCAGGATAAAATCCTCTTTTTTCAACTGAAAAAAATATCATTTTTTAATGATTCTCTAACAGCACAGTCTTACATAAGTCTACTTGAATATAAATTCTATAGAATTCAGTGCACATATTCTTCAAATTAGATCTATCCTCTTGTACCCAGGTATAATAATCTATAACAGGCAATAGATGATCATAATATATAACAGTATTTATTTCTAGCAGTAATCATGCGAGCAAGAAAACTGCATCTGCTCTTAATACAAGGATTTGCTTCTATTTCAAGTAAATAAAAATAATGTAGATTATTTTTGCATAGTATATTCACCTTTCTTTCCCCACCAATAAACACAATAAACAACCTTTTCCTTACTTCTATGTCACTATAGACAACATATTTCTGATACGTTAAACTTATAGGTGTGAGATGTAGATTTGCGGCTGAAGATTAAGAAAAAGAAGGAAATATATTGCTCTAATTTTATTTTATAGGAAAGGTAAGGGATCTGAATGTACATATAATGCTTAACTTTTACACTGAACTAAAATGTTTAAAAACTAAAATGAAAAGGTTCGGCTAAGCTTAAACTGTATAAATACAAATCTTTTTCAGTTTTAAAATTATTAAAAGTGGCAGATGAGTCTGGTTTGTGTTACTAACCATCACAAAGTTGCTGTGAAACATTGTACTGTGCATTATCCTCAAATAAAAATATGAGTGCTGCATTTCCAGAGTGTTTACAGTTTGCCTCAGTCTAGCCAACTAGAGTAGTTCAAAGGCTGCTCTGCAGAGAATCATCATCAGTCAATTGCAAAAGGTGGTTTTAATCAATGTGAACATCAGGTGACTAACAATCACATGTTAAGGTGTTGCGTGGTGTGAATGTTGTGGTATGAATCAAATTAAAACATGATTTATTTACTAATTCAATTATTTGTGTTTTATAGAGAAATTGTAAAAACAGGACTTCCCTTTTTTCAGCAGATTTTTGCAAACCTTCAAACATTATTTGTCTACATTTGAGGACAATTAGGTAATATATTTAGCAAGTTATAGAATCCAGTCCAGGTATTTCTGCTGTGAAAATCAACTAATACCTATTTAAGATAAAATGCCAAAAAGTACAAATAAACTAATTATATGAAAGGTACTTATATTTTTCAGGTCCTCAATCATCTGCATAAGAAGCTGAGGAACATATCAAAGAAGTCAGAAGCATCCAAGAAGAAGGTATAAAGCTTTTCTTATAAAACAAACTATAGTAGAGCAATATCTTTATTAAACCAATTAGTATGTCCTGAAGCAATTTGAATGTGTTTGAGGTCCCTTTGTCATGTCGCCGAGCACGCGCAGCTTGCCTGTTTGTCTTGTGGGTTTCTGGCAAACATGCACGCTCAACTATCAGCTGTCCTTCACGCATGCAGCAGTGCCAAAACTGATGTGCTCATGCATGCTGGCCAGCTGATTGTTAAGCACGCATGAATGCCAAAACCCAGAAGTTTGACTTTTCCAGAGCATCATCCCTTTGCGTGCACGGCAGTGCTGAAAACCGACCTGCACATGCGGGCCGGCCCCTTGATTGTTAAGCACACATGCACGTTAGAACCTGGAAGTTTGGCTTTCCCGGAGCACAGCCCCAATGAGTGGGTGTGTGTACAACATTCGGTGTGTGCGACACTCGGTGCCAAAAAGGTTCGCCATCAGTGTACTATGAAAAAGCAAAGGGGAAAAAAAGGTGGGAAAATGATAGTTTAAATTGGAGTTGCCAGTTAAAATTAGAATAGGAATGAGACAACAGGTAACATATATTAAGCTTTACAGCTTTCTGAGGATGTACTAGAATTCTTAAAAAAATAAGTATACTGTCTTGAAATTCCATTTTTGATGGACTATTAAATGTTGGCTAATATAGGGAGACAAAATGGCTAATATAGTGACAAATTGGCTAATGTAGGGATATTAGCCACTTTGTCACTATATTAGCCAACACTAAATAGTTTATCAAATTAAAAACAACTTGGTAATTTACTTTGAGTAATTTCAGTATTTTTCTCAGAAGTCCTGTCGGTTGTGGGGAGATCACTCCATTCTATTACCTCATCAACACCAACTTTCATAAGAAAAGTCTAATAGTTTCTTCATATGTTGTTTTTAACATATGGCTTTAACCTCGTTTTGGGAAAAGACTCCCAACAAGATAGTTTTAATCTCATGTAATTAAATTAAAACTAGAATAATACAAATGGCTGAAATCTTGCATAATATCTAAGATGTTGGAGTCCTTACAAGATTTGGGGGTGATTTAAAAAAAGATTCACAGTCTGGCTTTGATGTGTAAACATACATGGTTTTAAAATGCATTTCATGTTTGGTAGAATTACTCTTCACGTATTTTGCTTTTTAAGGAAAATGTATAAAATTACAATAAATAAACAATAACAATAACAGAATCTCTCTGGTTTCCTATCAATAACAGGATATGACTATAATGGCTGTAACATAATAAGATTTTGCAAGAGATTCTCAGCTATTATATGCAATTACTACTCTCAAAGGGCTCATTTCTCATTTTTTAAACTGTCATCAGTTATAACATATACACCTCAGGATTTTTAAAAAGGACAAAGGAATGATACCTATAAATTAAATGTAAGTAATATATCTTTTGTTTTAGCTGGGTTTATGGATAGAAAGAATTATGGTTCAATATTATCAGCAGATGATACAACAAATTGATAGATTAAAAAAAACCCTCCTTAGTTAAATTAATGACAATCAGAGCCTTTTAGATAAAGATAAATTAAGATTTTATTCAATTTTATAATGATACCATCAATTCAGATAATCTATGGAAAATTGACTATTGATTATCTGCGTAGGCATTTGGCTTAAAGGTTTCTGGACCAGTGACTGTCATATCTTGGTTTGAAGTCTCTTCATGGTTAGTTAAGATCCAGGAGTCTAGGTGGGGCTTTGAGTTTTAAAAGTTTTGACAAGATTAATACAGAAATTTCAGCATGCCAATGGATAATTTACAAGGCATTGCTAAGGATATAATTCAGAATTGAATGGCTCTTACTTCAACTTAAGTGTTTTTAGGATTGATATCTGTGGATTTGAAGGGATAAATTCCTGTCATAAAATAATACCTTGCTCTTATCAAAGCTCTCAAGCCACTAGAGGATTTGCTTAACATATATCCTTTCTGTTTTCACTGCTTTTATGGTGTATTAGTAATTATTTGTATAACTTAATTATGTGACAGCCTTTTCACATTATTTATTGTTTCTCTTTCTCTTAGACAGCTCAAACTGTCCTTGTGGTTGTAGTGGTTTTTGGGATATCCTGGCTGCCACATCACGTGGTCCACCTCTGGGCTGAATTTGGCGATTTCCCCATAACTCAAGCTTCATTTTTCTTCAGAATAACAGCACATTGCCTGGCTTACAGTAATTCTTCAGTGAATCCTATTATATATGCATTCCTTTCTGAGAATTTTAGGAAGGCCTATAAGCAAGTGTTTGAGTGTCAGATTGGTCACAATTCGCCTCTGAATGAAGTGAAAGATAATAAGAGTAATATAGAGACGCCTCCATTTACTAATTCTACACATGTTTGAAGAATGAATGTGGTTGGCTGTTCTACTGTAGTTTCATAGGAATGGACTTGCTCTAGCTGCTTTTACTTAAACAAAAATGCACTTCCCAAAGTGAGCAAATATTTCAGGTTTTGTATTGGTCATTGGTATCCAACTAATCGAAGTTCAATTAATTTTGTTGCTGAAAGGAGTAAGAAAATCTGATTCATAGACAAAATACTTTAATATCCTTCTTTCTGAAAGAATTTTGAATGAGAGTTGTTTTTAAAATTAAAACAGAAATCAAATAAGATTAATATATAATTCATATTGCTCTAGTATATTTATGTTATGCTTAAAATACTACTTTCTTTCTTATACAAATTTATTAATGTAAATCACTTAAGCCATTATATTCTCAATGTGTATATTTCAGTTTGTGTGTATCCCAAATGAAATTGGGTTCAAATTGAACCAGAAGAATTTGAATAGTTGAACTGGAATATCCTACTATTTTCATGAATTGTGGAATGATTCTATCTACCAAAGTTATGTGTGATCACGGGGATTCTGCAAAATCATAACTGAAAAAATTGTGATGTCACTTTTTTCACTGATGTAACTTCAGATGGTCACTAAATGAATGGTTGTAAGTCGAGAACTTATCTGTAGAGTAACTCTTGCATAACATTAGTTTGTATAGACACATTTTTAGATGTTAAGGAAAGTAATTCAAAATTAATAGTATTGTAATTTATACTCTGCCTCTGTCAGTAATTTTATGCATAGCACATAGTTTGCTTACTTATTTAAACAAATCTGTAACTTGGATCCATGCTAACTATTTATCTGCCTGGTTTGTGATTAGAGTGGATTTCCAACTATTTGTTTTTTTTTCCGGGTACTTGATAGTTACATAAAGTGCATAACGCCAGAGATACAAATTATGGGTGGTGAACTTGATTATTTACTATAATTGCAAAGAAGGTGGTAAAGGTGCTCCATAAGCATTTTTATAGAAAGATTAGAATAGGCAACAAGCTGATATATATACCTGCTTTCATTCAGACCTAACGGTTACTACTACTGTAAGTGTGTTTGACAAAGGCATGGGATACCTTCCTGTAGATTATGTGACTAACTGAAAGAAATACAATTATAATGGAAAACTGATCCTATCAAGCATTTTAAAAAAAAAATCTTTTTTTAAACTTCAAATCTGTTCTAAGACCATGTTGAATGAGGGAGTACATAGTTCATTGTTGCATGTTACAAAATCCTGTGCCTCCATTTTGCTGAGTTCCTTGGCTCTGATAATTCTGAAACACACAGTCAAAATGTACCAAATATTGTATAATAATAATAATAATAATAATAATAATAATAATAATAATAATAATAATAATAATAATAATA